AGCAGCTCGGGAAGCCGGTGCCACAGGAGAGCAGGGGCCGGGGAGCGCTGGGCCCGACCCCGGCAGCCACCCCTAAAACCCTCGCCTTCGCCCCCAGCCCAGCCTTCGCGCTCGCACCGCCAGCAGCGCTGAGCATCCATCCTTGGCTTCCAAATAACGCCCGTTTCTCTGGGGCCAGAGCACAGCCCCGGGGTCCTGGGGGGGGGCGGTGAGGGGGTGCAGCAGCAGGGTTCGGGGTCGCAGCCCTCCAGGAGGTGCTGTGGGCAGGCAACAATGGAAGGACCGTGTCCAAAAATACCAGGGTCCTCCTTGGCACCAACCCTGGAATAAGACGACACCAGCTGTGCTCCCCTAAAGCCCCCCCGGCCTTAGGGCTGCGAGCGCCAGCAAACCAAGAGGGCGGATAAACCCCCGCCGCAAGGGCAGCAGTTGTCACCCCGTTACGCTGGCTGAACACGTGCAGACCCTGACGCTGGCCGCTGGCTGAACACGTGCAGCGGGGCGGCCCGGAGCCGTTGGGGCTGCCCCGCTGCCGGCCTCGGCTGACTGCTGCGGGTGACGGGGGGGGGACAGCTGCCCCGGACGAGGGACACGGTCCCAAGGAAAGGAGGAGCCGCTGTCGCCCACGTTGGCCGGTCCCACGAGGAGGGGACACGTCAAGAGATCGCCGTTGCATGCTGCGCCTCTGCCTCCTCAGTGAAGTCATTTCTCTCCGTACGGCAGGAATGACGTCCCCAGAGGCCGGGGCTCGTCTTCTCCAGCCGTGGCACTTTACATTTGCCCTGGCTGCTGTCCCCCAAGCTGAGCACCGCTATGTCCCCGTGGCAGCCAAGGAGCTTGAGGACCGGTGGTGTCATTGGGCTGCAAACCATCACCAGCAGCGGGATGCGGGGAGGATCAGTCTCGCCCCGGTCGCCTTTTGGTGTTGGGTCTCACCCGGGTGGAGAGCGAACGGTGGGATTTGCTGCCGTGGTTTGCACAAGCCCTGTCCGGGGGTTGCACCATGGCCTGATCCTGCCCTGGGCAGCCCCAGCACTGCTTGCTGGGCCCAGGAGGTGGCAGCAGACGGTGCCTGGCTGCGCAGCACAGAGCCTAAGTCTGTTTTTTTCACCTTGATTTATAAAATCCAGCAGCTAGATCCAGGCTATTTGCCCCGTGTAAACAGCCTTCCCCCCGTCAGCGTTTCCACCAACCTGACCCGGGAGACGTGCATGGCAGCGGGCGATGCCTGGTCACTAGATGCAGCCCTTAGCTTGGGAATGAGCTGACGGGGGAAAAAAAATACATCCCTCCTTCCATCTTCCAGCCTTGGGAAGGAAGGGGGCAGTAAATTTCCACCGCAGACTGACGGCCAGCAGGTACTCGATGCCAGTCTAAAACACCTCTAGCGTTCATCGTCATCTGAGCAGAGTTTTCAGTCCTGGGCTTCTCTCAGCTGCTGGTTTTCTTAAAACACGGTTTTGAAAGAAAAACCCTTGCCGCTGTAGAGCAAAAGAATTCAAAAGGGAGTTGCTGGGACCGCTCCAGGGCTGCATCTGAGCTGCTCAAAGGACTGGGCAGGCCCTGGTCTTTTCAGCTCTTTGAAAAAGCCCTGGCTCCCCCGCGGGCTCACGGCAGCTTGCTTGGCCGCTGCAGGAAGGCAACAGCCAGGGTTTCTTCAGCATTTCGATGCTTTTGACATTTAAGACAAGAATGCCTTGACTCTTTCCAGCATCTTCTTTCACAGGGAAGGTTTCCAAGCCACACGTGAGGCTGGGGAGCTCTAATCCCGCCAGCAACCGAAAGCTGCTCCCGGACAGCTGGCGCAGGGCAAGCAGACTCGGGCCCCGTCCCTTGCGGGCGCACGGCCCCATCCCCGCAAGTGAGGGGGATGCTCCGCGTGCCCCCCGGCCCTGCCGCTGCCGCCCAGGGCTGCCCGCGAAGCGCCATGCCCCGCGGCCTCTGCAGCTCCCCACCACCGGGAAATAACCCTCCTCCTGCGAGTCGTGGGCTGCCCACGGCAAGGGGAGGTGGGGGTGTGGAGCGGTCCCCCGTGGTTCACAGCCCCTCCGGCGAGCCACTGCCTTGCTAAGGCTGCCCCGGGGGGCTATTTCTCACGGACAGCACAGCCTGGACAGGCCAAAAGTCCTACTCTTCCCCAAAAGGAAGAGCTTGAGATCAAGGTTTTACCCTCCTCCTGCGAGTCGTGGGCTGCCCACGGCAAGGGGAGGTGGGGGTGTGGAGCGGTCCCCCGTGGTTCACAGCCCCTCCGGCGAGCCACTGCCTTGCTAAGGCTGCCCCGGGGGGCTATTTCTCACGGACAGCACAGCCTGGACAGGCCAAAAGTCCTACTCTTCCCCAAAAGGAAGGGCTTGAGATCAAGGTTTTGGGTGCTGGCTGGGGACACAGGGGGCCAGCTCCTGTAAGTGGGGCTTGACGGGCACCTGCCCTTCCCTGGCAGAGACCCTCCCTCACTTTTGGGTCCATGTGCTGCTTTTTGAGCCTCCAGGGAGTTTCTCACCAGAAGTTTTTCTCCTCCAGCCTGTTGCAGGGAACATGAAAGGAAGGGGAAGCCAAGGCCAGCGCCAAGCAGGCAATTCCCTACGGGAGTGGTGCTGGGACCAGCCCCTTCGGGAGCAATTCCACCAACACCGTCCAGCTCCGCACTCTCCAATTTCACAGACCCGGCGATCCCGCCAGCTTGGCACGGAGCAGAAACGTGCAGGGCTGGAGACGAATAACACGTATTTCAGAAATAATTCATTATAGTAACGTATTTCCATTCCGCCAGGAGACAACGCGAAGGAGCCAGACTGCCTGCTTGACAGACGCGGAGGAGTTGCTGTGCGATAGCTAATGAAACAGTTTAAAGAAAACTCACACGCCCCATCCCCGAGAGGCTTGTTATTTTCAGAATGAAGCGGGTAAGCCACAGCATTTTTCCTTTTCCGCTCTTTCCTGAAAGGCAGGTCCCCACACACGTAGCTGGCCACGGGCGTGCTGGGAGCTTCCACGGAGACCCACGGGCACAGCCCCCCCCTGCCAGCGTGGGTCGGTGGCTCTGCTCCCCAACACGCTCGGTGCCAGGACGGTTTCCCCGGTGCAGAGCCCTCCCTCGCAGCCTCTGACCCCAGTGGAGCCCTTTGCGTTGGACCCTGTCCAAAACCCCGGTGCCCACCGTGCTTCGGGGCGGCGTTGCTTTGCCTGCCGAGGTGAAGTGGAGAGGAACGGGGAACGGGGCGTCCCCAAAGCATCCTTCCCTGTGTCAGGGCTTTCCCCGAGTCCCGGGCTCTCGCTGCCGCTCACTTGCCGTGAGCTCCCGGTGCCCTTCTCGCACTCTCCCACAACGGGCACCGGAGGGGACCCGCTCCTGAACCAAACATCCCGCCGGGTGGAAGCAGGGACTGCTCCTGGATGGAGGCAGGAGCTCACCAGCGATGGGTCTCCCGCGGCGCTCGCTTTCTCGAGAAGTTGTCTGCTTGCAAATTCTGCACCGACACGAGCAGGGAGGCAACGAGCCAGGGCGGTTTTTGGGCATCTGCATGAGGGGTACAGCTAGAGCTGGGCTAGAGCTGGCATTTCCCTCCCCACCCTGATTTCTTTCTTTTTTTCCCCCTGTAAAGAAATGGGAGCAAAGAAAGCAAAATACATCCAAGTGTTAAGAGTACAACAGGACTTTATTATATGAATTACTATTAAACATCTTTAAGAAAAAAAACTCTTATGGAAATAGATTCTAAAATAGCAACACTCACAAACGTCACAGATTGTTTTGTTCATTTTAAACCATTTTGTATAGAAGTGATACAAACGTCACTGAGAATTGTACGTTTTTACGTAAGAAATGCATTTTGGCTTCCAAGCCGGTTTTAGTGGCCTTTCTACTCATTAGACCTGATTTTTTTTTTTTTTAAAGGACATAAAAATAATCACTCTTCATCCTCCATTAAAATGATGCTTTGTGCCTCCAAGATATTTTGAAATGGCTACAGAGTGACATCATTCAGAGAGGCTTTGCCTAGCCTAGGATACTTAAGGGCAAGTTGTTAGACCGTGTTAGGAAAGACATCCCCAAGCCCCCGTGAAGCATACGCTGCCAGCCCGCTGCCAACCCTGTGCGCTCACGGGTGCGGTGCCCACTTTCGGCGCAGGACCCTTTGCGGTTAGCGCGTGTTGCCGGACCCACCCCACACACAACCTTTGCTGGCAGGGTAGACGGAGCCAGTGAGGCCGGGGGGGGTTCGCACCCACCGCGTGCAGCAAGCGGAGGTTGCACAGCGACACCCGTCTCCTCCCCATGGCCCCCGTGCTCCAGCTGACAGCCCCCAAGCTGCCCTTCCTCTCCCCGTTTTCTCACAGGACTGCAGCCCTGCTCCCCGGCAGGCAGCTCTGCACGGGCTCCGCCGGGCCCCGAGTAGCATTGCAGGGAGCAGAGGATGTCGGACACCCCGGGGACGTGCTCGGCCAGACCAGCCCCAAGCGAAAGCAGAGGCAGCCTGCTGCCTCGGGGCTCCTCTCCACCAGCGAACTACGGCTGGGTTACAAAGACGACTCGGAGGCAATGTGTCAACTAATGTGCAGGCTGAGCAGCCGGGGGAGAGCAGGAACAGCGGCATTTGCCACTACGCCACTTGCTGCTGTTAAAGCCAGCGGTTCCGGCAGGACTGACCTGTGACGTGATGCGAAACATGGCTTGCCCAGCGCTAGACTGCCAAAGAGAGCTCAACGCGATCCTCCGCAGCCACGGCACAACGCAGCCCATCCTCCAGCAAGGATGAGTAACACAGCAAACCCTCCAAGGGTTCGGCAGCGGGAAGACATGCTGCAAGCGCCCGGGCACAAGTGCTTCGCTGCCTCTCCTCCCTGCGTGCCAGACCGGCCCCCCAGTAACAACCTCCTCGGCTGGGAGAAGCAGAATTTCCTTCCTGCAAGAGCCTGAGCTCCTGCTCGACTGCCTGTCAGTGCTTCCTGCCTTCATGGAAACTTTGCTGAAAGTTAAGCCCTCAGTAGCTAAGAGGCGCTGGAACATTGACAAGCTGAGCCGCTTCCAAACTTGATTTTCTTCCAAATATGCAGAGAGCTGCTTTGGACTGGGAGGGAGCAAAGGCAGCCTCCTACGGACTCCAGAGCCAGCGGAGGGTAGGAAAGGAACCCCTCCTCTCTCTCCACCAGTCTCAGGCTGGGAATAAAAGTCCCACGCAGGGACTTCTGTTCCCGGTGGCAAAGCCCCAGCTTCACACTTAGTGCCTTGTGCCCGCAGACACGCTTGCACTCCAAGCCAGGCAGGGACACACGCTCCTCCAGACACCCATTTTACCCCACACGGTGCAGAGCAGCCCGGTACAAAGCACGCTGTGCCTCTCCAGCACCTCCCTCCACCCGACAGCCCGGCACGCAGCAGGGAGCAGGGTGGGCTCGGAGCCTGCATGCATCGAGGCAAGGTCAGCGTGGCTTGGGATGGCTCTAACCTGTCGGCTGGGCTGCCACGACTCAAGGGATGCTCCTCTCTCCTTCCTTCAAAAGAAAAGGAGCAGACACCAAAGCTGGGATCGGCTCGGTGGGGTGGGTCTTCTGCTGCTTTGGTTTTAGGAACCCAAAGCTCGCTGGCGTCCCAGGGTGCTTCCAGTCCAGTGCAAGCAGCCTGCCCTCGCCACCCCAGGCTTCGGCCGAGCCCCAGTGCTGCCGGGAGCGCTTCGTTTGTGCTAACGGGACACTACCCAGACTCTGCAGCCCCAGACCCCTCGAAGCAGCCCTGGTCCTGACCAGGGAGGGGGCGAAGCGTGTGCATCCCCACCGGCCCCCGCCACGGCTGCGGGGGCGACGGCAGCGGCACTTAACAGGTGCACCGGCTGCACCACTCACGGGGAAAGAAATCTTGGCGTCCACTTCAAAGGCATGCGGGCGCCGGGAGGGTTTGAAAAGGAGCCTGTCGGGAGCCAGCGCCTGCAATGTGGGCTTTTGTTACCAAACCCCGCGGAGAGGCAGGGAAAACAGTTGCGTGTGTGTTTGATGGCTGGGGTTTCTGCGTCTGCCGCCTTCGCAGCTCCAATCTTGCAACATTTGTGCTGGTTCGCAGGAGCCAGAACGTGAAACAGGCATGTCTATAGCCACCTCCTGCATTTAGCAGTAAACAGACTATGCCGATAAAGGAGAAGAAAATGTGCTGGCGGGAGCAATTTCTGACTTTATGCTCATCACTTATTACTTACACAGGGAAGGAATTTGTTTACGTAATTATTTTTAGCCTGACAGCATCTCCAAAAGCTGCAATGATTCCAGCGCTGCCCGCCAGCCCCCCCAGCCCTCCACCGTGCTCCCCAGTGAAACGAGCCCCCGGGGCGGGCGTGAGGAATGATGCTCTGCTCCTACCACCGGGCCAGCTCCAGCCCTGCACCAAACCCAGCAGCGCTCGCAAGCCCTTGTGCAAACTTCTCCGTGCCGAAAACACCTCTGCCGGCCTCAGCCGCAAACCCCCCAGCTCGGGCTTTGCATCTTACCTACGGCGGGGGGCATCCCCGGAGCCGCTGAGCACCCTGCCTGGCAGCTGGGACCACCAGCGGCACGCCGCACCCAGCAGGACAGGTCCCGCTTCGGCAGTGAGGGTTAAACTGATGCGAAATCCAGCCCTTGGCGCTGCCCCGCCGTCCTGCCCCGCGGCGGCACCGTGGCCCTGCCGGGAGGTGAGCCGCACCGCGGCCCACAAAGCGTCCGGACTTCAAGGCAGTTTTAGCAATGCCAAAGGCAAAGGTTTAATTCAAAGTGAAAAGCCTAGGAAAAGAAGGCCTTTCCTTTTATAAACAATTTATATTATTTGACTATTACCTGATCTGAATCTCTGCTCATTACTCCTAGCAATAGTAGACAATGGCTGTTAAGTTCTCTTTCTCACGTGGTTTGTTTTTTTTTTCCTGTGTGCGCAGAGTAAAGTTACATCAGATCGCTACAGAGATATGTTCAGGAGTGCTCCGGCCAAGCAGATCCCACATGTGAATGCATCCTCGTTAGTACAACTGATTTTCATTCCTCCTGCAACGCCGCTCGGACCGAGAGAGCAGGCGGGACACTGCTCCTCCCAAGATTGAGCTCCACTGGCTCCTCCACAGCAGCTCACAGCAGCTGCCAGCTTTTTTTTCCTTTTTTTTTTCCTTTTTGGCTGATTTGCTAGATAGGAGAAGTTGTTTTCAAACCACTGGTGAGAAAACATTGTGCCTCACTTCAATAGTTGTACTTCAGAGGAGTACAACAGCAGAGGGGGAACAGCCAAAAAACTGGGTTATTTGTTGGGTAGGTTTTTTTCCTTTTTCAGCCATCTTCTTATGAAGCCTTGCGCACGTTCTGTGCCAGCAATAAACCCCAGCACTGGGACCTGGAGGGGAGGAGAAGGGGAGGGAAGGAGAAAGGCATGTGCTCAGCCTCAGTCACGCCGTGGCCGGCACCAACACCGGCCCGCCGCAGCACCCGGGGCTGTTACCAGCTGCAGCACCCACAGCCACCAACAGGGCTTGTCCCCACCCGGACACGCTCTGGACCTGACCCAGAGCACCTGGCTCCCTCTTCCAGCCAGGACAGATGGATGGACAGGGCCGTTTGCATGCTTGCCGGGAAGCGTACATCCCCAGGTGCCTCTCACCATTTACTGCCCTTCCTTTGGCGTCTCCTCCTCCTCCCGGAGCTGCTGCTTCCGTGCTTGGAAGTCTTCATCTGAAGGGCAGAGGCAGGCGGGGGCGGTCAGGGGCTGCAGCTGCTTCCACAACGGGACACAGCCAGTGTCACGGTCCCAGCCCCAGCGAGGTGCCCCAGCGGGGAGGCAGCCCAGCCCCTGCCCCGGGGCAGGGATTTCCTCGCCCAGCAGACAATTCCCAGGGACTGGGATGCGGGGACTCTCTGCCAGAACACGCCTGAGAACACTGGAAGGAGGTTTTGGCCCATGGCGGCATTTCTGCCACACGGTCGCTCCTGAGCCAGCCCCAGGGTGGTCCAGGCCGCCACAAAACCCACTGCCAAGACCAACCTCAGCACAAATCTGGCTGATGACGGATTTGCCGGGATTGTGCCCCAACCCCACACTACGCACCCTGCAGGGCTGCACATCCCGGCTGCAAGCCTCCGAGGCTCCCCAGAAGAGGAGGATCCTGTTCCCGGTCACCCAGGAGAGCCGTGTGGGACCAGGGGCAAGCCCGCTTCACGGGTGGCCATGCCCCGGCATGGACCTGAGGGGAGCCATCCCCAAGCAGGGCGATGGCATGGGGCAGGATGGGGCTGGGCACCGCGGGACCTCAGCTAGCCGTGCTGAGCACAGCACACGGCACAGCGTGGCATGGCACGGTGTTTCTTACCACATGAATGTCCTTCGACATCGTCGAGAAGATTTGCCGTGGAAGCCGCCGTCCCCAGCCTGCGTCCTCCGCTAAGAAAAACCCGTCGTGGGGCCAGGACGTGGCCACAGCACAACAATTGCCCTTCCCAGCCCACGGCCCAGCCGCAAGAGGCAGCCGGGAAGCTCCGGTCAGACCACAGCCTTGGGTAGTCCCCGGGAGTACCTGAGCGAGGCCACTCCGACAGCCCCACGCCCCCCCACAGCTCCCCAGCCCCTTTTAGGATACACCTGGTGCTTCAACAAGTGTTTTCTTTTCGATTTCCTCATCTTCGTCTTCTCGGAGAAGGCTCTGGCAAGTTCAAATAGCTTCTTGCGCGTGGCTGGAAGGAAGCAGCTGGGTGAGGGTCTCACCCCAAAACCCTTCTCAAAGCTGCCACGGATGATGGGGAGGAGACTGCCAGGGCCAGCGGTGCGAGAGCCACCCGTGCCCCGATGCCCCACGGCAATACCCCGGGTTTGCCTGGGAACACCAGGGCTGCGCAAGGCTGCCAGGCTCGGAGAGCCAGGTCCTGCAACTAACAGGGACACGCTGGTCCCTGGCAGGGGGTGCTGATATTTTTACCCTTTCACTGTGATTTTCATGACCTTCCCTACCCACGACTGACCCACGTAGACCCAGTGCCTCAGCTGGCTGCAGCCCAACTCAAGCTGCCCAAAAACCTCTGTCTATTTTGCGACGGGAGAAGTGGGCTGTGACTTGCTAAGAGGAAAGGACTGGAAAAGGGAGAGTCACAGCAAACCCTCTGCTTGCTTTTCTAGGTTTCGCACAAATCCTGCTCAGAAATTCCTCTATTCCCCAACACCACCTGCATCCTCAACTCACGCCGCGACCCACACGTGCACCAGGGACAGATGGACAGTGCAGAGCTGGGGCATCAAGACCCAGGTCTCCGCCTCCTGTCCGTCGTGCTGGCACCCAGCCCCGGTGTGCAGCACAGGAGCTCCCTGTCGCTGGCGAGGGCCAGGAGGAGAGCACCACAGGGCGGGGATGCACCAGCCCAGGACTGTAAAATGCAGACAGAAACTCAACCCCAAAGCACCGCTGCCGGGGCTGAGCGCTGTCTGAGCACAACGTGCCACCGCAGCGTGCAACGGCCTGCGCCTTGCCCGCCAACGTGCCAGCCCTGTGTGTGACCCGCGGGGTAATGGGGATGCGTGTGCCCAGCTGCCGGGAGAGGTGACAAGAAACCCCCACGCACACGTGCTAGCAGACGTGCGTGTGCCGGCTGACGTGGACGCACAGGCACACGCACGTAGAGCGGACACGCTGCGTGAGCGGGGAGCGCCGCAGCGCTTGGGCAAGCGCCAGGCAATGCTGCCGGCTCTTCCCCTGCCCGCCCCGCTCTCACCTCCCCTCCAGCCCTCGCAGGCGTCCCGCTGCCAACACGGAGCCTGCAAACCAACTCACATTTTCCCATGTGTTTCAATTTGTCTCTGAATAAGGCATCGTCAGACACAGCACCACCGGCCTCGCTGGTTACAGAGGGGGCTACGTCACCTGGAAGGCAAACATCTGCTCACCGGGAGTGCGTGCGCGGCGAGGGGAGGCTCGAGACAAATAATTTCCATGACCCAATTCTAGCGCTAGCGAAACACAGCCCTGCCACAAGCAGAGCTGAGTAAGCATAGGCAGGACGAGGGCACTGGCATGCCAGGGCTGGCTCTGGACGAGGACCCTCTGCAGATATAACCCCCGAGACCGTGGGCGCAGAGATGTCGGCTTGCAGCACACCCTCAGCTCCATCGGGCTGCTCACCTTGAGCCGCCTGCAAGCGGACACGGGGTGAGCGACGGCTCAGTCCCACCACCAGCACCGCTGCAGAGCAGGAGGCCTCCCTCTGTGCTGCTCCAGGGACAGTAGCCCCAAATTACCCCGGGCACTGTATTAATACACTCTGGGTATTAATCGTGCCCATGCTCAGTACCCAGGACGGCAGGGCCACCGGATCAGGAGCAGAAGTTCAGGCATCCCAGCAACTCGGGTCAAGTGGACCAGAGACCCCAACAGCCGCGTCCTTGTGCCCCCTCCCCTCAGCCCATGCCCCTTCCCCAGGTCTGGGTGCCCTCGAAGCACCGTGCGCCCAGCTGGAGCTCTGCCATGCTGCCCAGCCACTGCGTCTCGCCCACCCCCGCACGGGGACATCGACAGACACCAGCTCTAATTCTGAACCTGGGCAGCTGCTCCACTTCCCGAGGTTAATCAGGATTACCCGGGAACAGTCAGTATGCCTCCCAGGCACAATCCTCCGCTCTGGCCAAGACAAGGAAGGGCTTTGTCTCCCCTGGGAACTGGATCCCAGCTCCCACCCGCAGGGATGGACGGAGCCAGGACGCAGGAGCACCTTCACATGGGGAGGGCAGGGAGGGCAGCAGCAGCACCCATCCCCATCACCCACCAGCTCCTCTCCTGCGCTTGGGAGGGCAGCAGGGACGGATCAGCCAGTTTCCTCCCCCCACAGCCACCTCGGAGGCAGCCGGGCAGCCAGCAGTGGCAGAGGGCTGGGAACACAGGAGCTGCTGAGAGGCGATGCCCACGTGCATCTTGAAAGTTACCTGATATTACGGAGGAGAAACCAAAGTCGCTGCTGACAGCAACACTGGTCGACTTGGATTTTTTTGACTCATATTTCAATCGATCTGAAAAACAAAAAGCCCGGCGCCCCACTTGATCAGACCCTCGAGGCAGTGCACACAGCTCTGCTCTCCTCTCCCCTCACGGCCCCCACAGCTGCGGAGGGAGAGGCTGATGGCAAGGGGGGGAGCTCAGGCTTTGCTTCAGCATGGCGACCACAAGCACTTCAGTGGGAGCCCGCAACAGCAGGCGGGAGCGCTCCCCTCACCGCAGCAGAGGAACCGCCTGCCCGCCCGCCTCAAGGACGCGGTGAGCACACCGGTGGTTTTCCAGCCGCGGTGGCCGGGGGCGAGCCCTGCAGTGAAGGCGCTGCCAGAACCCTGCAAACCACCAGCGAGACCTCTGAGGGAGATGGCCCCTCAGCCAGGGGGCTCGGAGCTGGCAGCAGCATGAGGGAGGGGATGGGCAGCTCTTTGCTCAGCGGCAGCAAAATCACCAGCACCCTCAAGCCCTCCCTGCAGCGCCAGGCGAGCAGCCGGCTGCCGGCTCACTGGGAAGGAGTATGGTGACAGGGAAGGAGCAATCATGGCAAAACTGCTCTCCAGTTCAGGCCCTGCCAGCACCTGGGGAGGGCACACAGCCGGGGAGCGTGCACCGGCTGGGCTGGGCTCGGACGGCATTTCCGAGACTCCTTGCTGTGGATTTTGCTGGGGTTTGCCAGAGACACCACAGAGAGGTGGGCAGGGGGAGGAGAGCCTTGTGGCAGGCAGCTGAGCACCAGGAGCAGAAGCCCGGGAAGCAGCCCACTGCCCGGTGTCAGCGGGTCGGACCACCTGCCACCAGCCTGGCCGCATCCTGCACTGGCTCTGTTTTGGCATGAGCCACGATGCCACGGGCAGGGCAATGCTGCCACCAGCCAGTTTCACAGGGGGAGCACGCACCCGAAAAGCAGAGGCAGAGGTTTCTGAAGGCGCTTCTCACCTCTCTCCAGCGCGAGGAGGAAATCCCGGTTCCTCTGGAGCTCCTTCATGAACTCTTCGTTCTGCAGGAAGAGCGCGATCCGCTCGTCCTCTAGGTACTGCTTCCACCGTCGCTCCTGCTCCAGGGAGTCCTTCATGAACTCTTCGTTCTGCAGGCGATCCGCGATCCGCTCGTCCTCTAGGTACTGCTTCCACCGTCGCTCCTGCTCCAGGGGCCCCGTGGGCCGCGGGGCCAGCCGGACCGGCAGCCATGGGAGCCCTGGGCAGGAGGCAAACACAGCAGAGGTCGGTCGGTGGCCTCGGTGCCTGCGCCGGCACGTGCAGGACACTCCCTGCAGCAGCACCTCAGGCTGAGCTTGGCCTTTTGCTCCTCCGTTACGCCGCTGCACGCTCAGCCCTGCCGGCCATCGACTGCTGCTCCCCAGCGGGGTCCCTCCCTCCTACGCCCAGTGCCCGACAGCCCGGGGCACCGTCCCCCTCGGCCGGGCTGCGCTCAGGACAGTGCTGCTGCAAAGGGGACAAAGGGGGACAGGGCACCACTGCCTCTGCCCAGCGGGAAGGGGGACAGGGCAGAGGCAGGAGGGGGACAGACATTGCACGCGGGAACGGGGACCTCTCGGTCTGGGGTCAGCATGGCACAGGGAGGAACCAGGGCCTCCAGAAGAGCGCCTTTGCAGAGCGCAGACTTGCAAAGATTTTTAACTTTAAACCGTGGGGTTGAGCCAAGACAGAACCTGGTGTGGAGGCAAGGGAGAAGGGTCTCAGCCAGCGTTGCTGCTTTTACTTTCCCCTATCTAAAAAGCAGAGACTGCAATTTCCCACTGACAAACGTCCCTGCGCAAGGCATCTCATGCTCTCCCCCGGCTCCCGGTGCAGTCGCACCTAGAGAGCAGCAGAGCCGCACTCTACAGCCGCAACCTCATCCTCGCCTACAATATTTATCTGATTTGTAGCTGCTCTCAGAGAGCCATAAAAAGCGAAAGCACACAATTACCAGGGAAAGAAAAGGGCAGCTGCTCCTCTCCTCCCCCTGAGCCCAAATGAATTGGCATGTCCCTATTCCCAGAAAGGTAATATAGCCCACAAAGCTCAACTTGCAGGGCAATCATTTATGAAAACGTGGCAGGCTACCTTTGGAGCCAAAAAGGGAGGGAGGAGCCGATGCACGGGGAAGGCAGGGTGCCTGCAGCCCCCCCCAGCCCCTTGCCGTGCCAGAAGGGCGCTGGCCCCATTTGCAGGCTGGCTGCTGTGTTAGCAAAGGGGCCGAGGGATGCCCCGGGGATGCGGCGTGCCTGGAGCCGAGCTGAGTGCCCAGCGCGGTCTGTGCTGGGGCTGCTTGTTCCCCACGGGGTGCTGCCCGTTGCCTGCCCTGCTGTGGGCAGAAGGGCACCCGCAACCCCAAGCCTTGTGATGCCGAAACCACCCCAAAGCACATGGGGACTCTGATTTCCCAGGGACAAATCCTCTGGTTTGCACTAGATTTTCCACCCAAGTTTCACTGCACCAGCCCCTGAGCGCCCTGGCAGTGCCGCTCTCCCCAAGAGCGTATGCTGGTCCTGCTGCTCCTCACCAGGGTAGCAGGTAAGATTTTCAAATAATTTAAAATATTAGGTGCTTATTGCAAGTGGCATTTCTGGCACTAACCACTGGCGTAATGGCAGGAAAAACATCAAAGCCTCACTGGAAGGTTCCCCTTTCACACCCTGCTCACTTCAGTCCCGCCTTGAACAACAAGACGCACTCCAAGACTTTCGGTTTAGTCCGCACCCAGATGCTTTCAGAGCGCTGACGCTGCAAGCTGAGGGTGGCCAAGGACCGGGTTTGGTGCTCCATGCCACACCGTGGAGCCGGGGCGCGGGCTGGACGGGGCAGCAAGCCTCACCTGTGCGCCAGCGGTCTGCTGGGGCAGGATGCGGAGGAAGTCCTCGGGGAGGTTGCCCAAGAGCGGCGGGTTCCAGTTCCTGTAGCGCCCAGGTGCCAGGGTGCTGCCAGGCCCCGGCACGTCCGTCCTGCGGGGCAAGCACAGACAGCACCTTTGGCGAGGGAGAAACCCACTGACGGCTGCTGCAGCAGTAGGGGACAGAGCCTGGCCTGGCAGCCCCCTGCCCGGCTCCACCGGCGGTCCTGAGAACCAAGAAACCACAGCACCCCTCCCAAACCCACGGCATTAGCATTAGGTCTGAGAGTGAAAGGCTTTCCTAGCGAGTTTGAAATCTGTGGGAGCTGCTCTTCAAGCCTTGCCCCGCAACTGTGCAGACTGGATTTCCCTTCTCCCCTCCGTTTTGCTCAGAGTCCCAGAAAACAGCCCTGTGGGAGCCCTAGCACTGCGGGATTTTGCTTATGAAGCTGATGAACGTCTCTCACCAGATGTCACACCCAGCCTGCACAGCCGGCAGCGCCTTCGTCCGAGGGGGCTGGGACAGAGGCGGCCAGGGCACCGGCACTTGCTTTCCCGCAAGTCCTGAGCCTACAGCCCAGGCAGTGCTGCTGGGGGAGAGCCCGCACCCCGCAGGGCCAGAGACCCCCGGGGGCTCAGCGACCCGGCAGCAGCAAGTCAAACTGACCTGAGGTCTCTGGTGCCAAGAGCCACGATGCGCGGGGCCCCGGCTGCCAGCACCTGGTGTTTTCGAGCAGAGGCAAGCGCTCCCCGCCTCCGGTAGCTGATTTTTGCCATTCCACGCGCTGCCGGAGCGGCTTTCCGGGCCCTTCAGCTGTTCACTTTTTAGGGCCTCACAGGGATTTTTTAGCCAGCTGTGAGCTTCATTCATCTCCCTTGGCTTCGTCTCACCCAGCCCTAACGAACTGGCGCCAGATGCCCCTTGCCGGGGCCAGCTAATGCGCAGCAAGAACCCCTGGGCGCCGGCGCAGGGTGCTTTGCCGGCCACCACGAGCAGAAGGCACGGTGCAGCCATGGCGCGGGGCTGGGGACTCACCTGGGTGGTGGGGTGGGCGGCGCGTGGGGGTAGCGGCTGCCAAATGCCTGGCTCTCGTAGGCGGGAGGGGAGTAGACGGGAGGGGGCTCCTCGTCCGAGCTGTCCGGCTCCAGGGTCCGCTCCAAGATCTGCAGGGCAAGAGGATGGGGTGAGGGCGAGCCGGGGAAACGCTCCCCGCCGGGCCGGGCCCCCACACGTGGCAGCAAAGCGGGGACGGGTCCAGCTGAACGGTGCTGCAGAGAGGATGGGGGGCAACCTCCCGGCACCGGTCCCCCTGCACTGGGGGGCTTTTCATGGGGTTCAGAGGTGCTGTTCTCGAGGGACGAGACACCGCATTTTGGGTGGGCAGGTGAGCCTGTCCTTGGGTGCACACAGCCCTTGGGAGCCTTCTGACAGGAGCAGAAGGGTCTCTGTTGGGTTTTGGGGTGGGAGGGAGGGAGCAGAGCACTTTGGCTTGAGCCTCAAGCACTGTCCAAGACAAACCAGCCAGGCTGCGTGCTCAAGATCAGCCGAATCGGGCACTCAAATCTCTGCCCACCCGCAGCAGCCGCAGCAGCACCGTGCCCAGGCAGAAGCGACGCAGGATGAGACTGAGCTGTCCACTCGTGATGAGCCAGCCGTGGCAGCCAGGAGTCCAGGCAGGGGACCCCCACCCATAGCCACGTGCCGGGGACCACCGGCGGGGGTTACCTCGGGGGGGATGCTGTCCTCCGAGTCCGAGCTGTCGTCGCAGCCACTGCTGTCCAGGTTCATCTGCAGGAGCTGGTCGATGGTGGCGTCCACGGCGCCGTTGTTGGCCCTCAAGACGCACTCAATGATGTCGTAGTCCATGCTGGGGAACATGGTCTTGAAGTCCTCCATGGCCTGGTTGAACTCCAGCCGGCGGACCTGCCTGGCGGGGCGGCTGTTATTGAGCTCCTGGGCGGAGGAGCCGCCGCG